CAACTGGGGGCGTAGGAAAAAAGTTGATAATATTGTTATTTTTTAATGAAAAAATTACTGAATGTACTTCAATATATGTAAATTCTTAGAATTTAAACGAAGAATAAAAATATTTAATAGTTTTGCTAAAAAAAATTATTTAAAAATTAAAATATTGAATTTTTAACAATATTATCAAAAAATTGGGGGCGTAGGAAAGAAGTAGTTAAAATTTTTATTTTAAAATGAAAAAATTACCAAATATTCTTCAAAGTATGTAGATTCTAAGAATCCAAACGAAGAATAAATATAATTTATTTTTTTTGCTAAAAAAATTGTTCAAAATTTAATTTTTTGAATTTGTATCAAAATAACGCGTTGGAAAATCAATTTGTTTTTTTTTTTAATATTTTTATTATTAATAAAAATAATTATAATAATAAATATTTAAAAGACTTAACGAAAAATAAATTGAACCGGTTATTTTAAAACGGCGTATAAAGATTATAAAAATTAGTGTTGAGTTCTTGAACGTTGTTAAATGTACGGAAAACACGCTTTGAATACCGATTAGATTCAACTATTACCTCCCGGTTATCGTAGGTTATGTAATGATTTACTGATCCTAACGATCGTAACTTTAACACGTAATCATATAACCGTGGAATGAGATTTTAGTGCAAGCATTACAGCAGGTAGCTTTAAGGGTGCCGTGACTTTAGCTTATGACTCTCACCAGTTGTATACACGTGTGTTTAATACGATATTAAGCATATTCCGGCAAAATATTTGCCGTGTATATTTAATAATTACAACTTGTATTACATAATATACATTAGATCACGCTGGGATTTATAGCCGGGTAGAACTGAAAGTTATTATCACCAGTTGCAGAATTTCCAACAAGTTTAATTGAATTAATTAAATTAAATAGAATATAATATAATGAGAAGTAAAATAAAAGCTTGCGTAGTTGTTAATAAATGATAGGAAAAGTGACGTCATTGTTGTCTGAGTGCGATAAGGTCGGCAGTTAAATCTCGGAGTTTAGCGCGTACACCTCGTATGGACAGTTTGAGTTATGTGGGTAAGGCGAGCGTACACGGGCGAGTACACTACACAGCTTTGGGGGTGTACGGAGGTATAGATATGCAGTTGTGGATCCGAGTATGGATATCCAGAGGGAAGAATGCGCCGGAGCTTGCCAAAAGGGTTGAGGGTTGAGGGTTGAAGGTGAAAGCACCTACTACAAGAGTGCATGAAGATTTATTGCGGGTGACGCATCACGCGACGGTTTTGCCACAGGTACACCGTCTAGGATTCCAGAAATGCACTTTTCGTGACTTAACATTGTTTACCAGATATACTGCCACGATTTCTGGGAGATTGTGTCAGCTTACGATATATTTGTTTAAATAATTACTTATGTGCTGAGTGTTTAAGCTACTTTTGGCACCCTTTGATCTTTTTTGTCCTTAAAAGTAACTTTTTTTTACTAACTTTACTGTTCGCGGAGAATATTTTGATAAGGCCAATTTTTACCTATTTGTGAGAATAAAAGACAAATTTTTAATTTTTGTAGTTATTAATTTAAATAATCAATTATTTTTTGTAAAATTCTGCATTTTTGAGCTTTTAACTGGGGGCGTAGGAAAGAAGTTGATAATATTATTATTTCAGATGAAAAAATTACTGAATATACTTCAATATATGTAGATTCTGAGAATCCAAACGAAGAATTAAAATATTTAATAGCTTCGTTAAAAAAAATTATTTAAAAATTAATTTATTGAATTTTTAACTATTTTATCAAAAAAAATTTTAACAACTGGGGGCGTAGGAAAAAAGTTGTTAAAATTTTTATTTTAAAATGAAAAAATTACTGAGTACACTTCAATATATGTAGATTCTTAGAATTTAAACGAAGAATTAAAATTATTAATTGCTCTTGCTTAAAAAAATTATTTTTATCACCTAGATGCGCATTATTGTCATTTCAAACTTAAAAAACTCAACTTTAAATAATTTTTTTCGATAAGAATAATTAATTATTTTAATTCTTCGTTTGGATTTTCAGAAACAAGATACTTTGAAGTATATTCAGTAATTTTTTCATTTAAAAATAAAAATTTTATCAACTTCTTTCCTACGCCCCCAGTCAAAAATTCAAAAATGCAGACTGGAAAAAAATAAATGGTTTAATCTGTAAAAAATCTCTTGGCTTTTTTCTTTAGATAAAAATGAAATTAAACGATCCAATAAATTAATTTAACATGATAATTTAATCTGGAGCATGACAAAATATTAACGAAGCAGGAAACAAGGATGAGACTCATGTGGGAAATTTTAAACAACAAGCTTTTAAGTGTCCAGAGATTGTGTTTGTTGTCGGCATACCGGGAAGAGCTGAAGCGGTAGCGGTAGAGTAGTGGTAGAGATAAAATTAACAAAGCGGGAATTAAGGTACTGGTAGTTGTATATGACTATAAGTAATCAGCGGTGATACTAGACGTTGTAGACGTGAATTTACCCGACCCTAATACACACACAAACATAGAGATATCCATAGTTGGAAGCAGAGTAGTCTGGAAGTATTAGTGCTAAAGCTGTGGCTGTATCCAGCCGGGGATTAGACCGTCTAACGTGCACTAGGGGTTAGGCGTAGTTTATTCCGACGTTACGAAATATGATGTACTTAAATGTCCTGGATGTTTGCCTGCGGCTCTAGATATCCCTCGGAAAATACGAGGGAGGACCTGGTGGGTGAAGAATCGCCGAATGCAAGTGGAAATTTTGAATGATTACCCCTTTCGTTACTTTTTTAAGACTGTTAATTTTTGCGGTAATTATCTTTTAAATTGCCGCCATAAAGTCGCTATAGTGTTAATGGAATTGCATTTTATTTTGGTTAATTAATGCTCACTACATACGACAGATAGAGATGCGATGGAGGTAGGTTAAAGTAGAAGGATAATAAAAGGCGGACATTTACGGTCTTATGGCTGTCGAATGTCCAAGAGCCATGAGAAAGTTTAAACTACGCGGCGATTTGATTGTCAAGCTCGTCTTTCCGTCCGATTACACTTTATAGCCAAGGAAGTTGTAGAGAAACTATCTCGGCTATAATAGTTTTCCATTACTTAGTTGTCGTTTACCGTGCTCATTTTTTAGCTTTACATTATTTTTATCTATTCATTCTGTCTCCTAATTTTATTTTTAAGTAAAATTTTATATATCTGTAAAAAAAATTTTATCATATTGCTTGATGTGACCATATATAGCTGCATTTGGTCACATATGGCTTTACCAGGTCACATATGACCTAATATGGCTTTATCTGGTCACTTATGACCTAACATGGCTTGATTTGACCTAATCTGGTCATGTAGGACCTGATAGAGAGAGCTTTATATGCTCATATATGGCCATATATATATCAGATCTGGTCACTTTTGATCTGATATGGCTTGATATGATCACATATGACCTAATATGGCTTCATCTGGTCGCATATGGCCTGGTAGAGAGCTTCATTTGGTCAATATGGCTTGATATATTCTGACATAAATGTATATGGCCATATACTGTAATATAAATAAATTTTCTCACGATCAAATTATAAAAAAGCTCATTCTAATTAACCCAGTGAGTTTTTACAGCTGAAACGCAAAAAACGTTGAGCTGAAGGATCACATTGATGGGTTAATTTCGCAAGCAGAAGTTTCCAATTTATTGCCACTGTTAAATATTTTCAGTACTAACAATGAGCTTGGTAGTAAAAAAGCTCGCGTTTATAAATATTCACGTCATAATTTAATCTTTTCTTGCAGGTGTCCCTGGTACCTGCAAGAAACGACCTCTCGGGTACTTTTTCAAGAGACTGTTTGTTTAAAATATGTAAATAGAACTCTTTCAGTCTGTAACAAGGTTCTGGGAAAGAGGACTTTCGAGAATTCTTACAAATAGTATCTCTCAGTTGATAAAACTATTTTTTTGTAATAATTTTATAATTTATTGCCGTCATATTCACAAAAAATATCGAATTTTTCTTTCTCTTTTTTCAATGAAAAAATTGAGAATAATAACTGATAATGTTTATATTTGTACTAAAATTATGACTCTTGAAGTTTGCTATTTATCTGTTGAAATGAATTATTTTTCAACAATTCCGAGAATTGAAGTACTGAAGCGTCGTTATACAAATATTGATAATTAGAGCTCCGTATAATAGAGAGCAATTAACAATTAAAAAAATAAGATTTTCTGAAGTGGCTACCTCAACAAAAAAATAAAAAGCAGGTTTGCTGCATTAAACAAATCGGTTTATTAATGCTAGCTAGTGGAAATAATTGAATGAGCACGTCATTTGACCTAAATCAGTAATGATTTCACTTGGTTCATTTACGACCTCATGTTTCTCATTTTGTTTAGGAATTAGAGTAAAAGTAATGAGCATTAATGAGTGCCGTTGTCGATCTGAATAATCTCTGCATACAAATAATATCTCGGTCTCTCTCTTCGATGTCAAGGGACAAAAGTCAATTTAATTATTTTCTAATAACAGGTCATTATTATTTTTAATTACTAAATCATTAAAAAATTTGATTTTAGTTCAAAATTTTTCTCTCCAATCAATTGAATATTTTTTTTTATAATTGTAAAAATTTTCACCAGCTGCCAGAAATATAAAACAAATTGCTAATTGATTGAAAATCATTTCCAAATGTTTAATATCAATTACAAAAATATCAGAATAATTAATTAATAACATTCTGCTGTCAGAACTGTCACTGAGCGCGAACGCGCATATATCAAAGCGTCCGCACAAACTATTGAGCTGTTTATGAGGCTTTTGTGAGTTAAGCTCGCAGTTATGTAAATTGATTAATCAAAACCATATAATATGTGTCCGCATAACTGTATATTGTATTTTGTTCATATGGAATATCCTCTTGAATTCGCTCGGGACTGCTTTTCCACCTTTAATTCTGGCAAATGGTTGTTTAGTTACATTCAGCGCATTAATGCTTCATACTCGTATCACCAAATGTATCTATTATTTTAAAATCAACCATTTAGACAATAAATGAATGATAAAATTTATAAAAAAATAAAAAAAATTCAAAACTGCACGCCCCAGAACGCAAAAAAATAAAAACTTACCCGAATAAGCTTCAGATTGAGCGTCATCCGATGCAAAGTTAGTATTTCCTGCACATCCATTTCTGTTCTGCACGGCGCGAATTGTATGAGTCGCTAGTAAAGAAGGACCACGTGGCGGAACTTCAGGTGGCGCTGGTTCTGGTGGTGAGTCTCGGCCATTGTCTGCAAAAAATAAAAAATATATAAATTATTTAGGAGATTTTTTGACTAATTCTGTAATATTTAGGATACTTTAAAAGGGAATAGCATGAATATCGATTACAGTGAATTAGTCCTGGGATTCGGTAGGGTGACGCAATAAATTTGAAATCGGAATACTCCGTGTATGTATATAATTAGTGCAATGTATAACCATTAGAGATTGTTAATGTTGCAAGGCACATTACTGTAAATCAACGTTAACTACGAACCACTGGTCTATCCCGTGCTTTCGCCAGCCACCGTTACAGAACTCTATTTCTCTCTCTATTTATAGATATATATATATATATATATATATATATTATATATATTACTATAAATATCTATACATTCGAGACTCTAGATGAACATACATTTATATGAGTATATATTAGCCCAGGGCATACTTAACTGTGCTACGTTACCTTTGAGAGAACTTTTCTATTAAGTGAGTGTTAGAATTTGGAACTAGTTGCCATCTTGAATTATTGTATTGAGGAATTTTATTGTTATGATTATTATCTATTATGGTTTAAATCCAAAACTCCCTTGTACCCTTTGCAATTTGCATGGAAATGAAGATTTGTCTCACATTTTTCTCAAACGCCCAGTTTATCATCCATACAGAGAATTTTATTTGGTACCATTGTTGCCCACAAACACCTCAGAAGCTGATGCTGATGTATTACTCTTTCTTCTCAATTACCAGCAACCCGCAACTTGTAAAGCAATCTACCTCTTCCTCTCCCGCTCAATGACACTACGGGTCTTTTGCCTTAACGACATGATTTGATATGATTTGACTGCGGGAAATCTATTTAAGAAGAAAACCGACGCTACGTTGGTTACACTTAACGAACTATCCGAGCAAATAAGTGAACTGACCCAGGCGATCAATTTCAAGATGGACAAAATAATGACTGCAGTGCTGGAAGATGTTCCCAGGGCGATTCAGTTAGCAAATTTTATAAGGAAACTCATCGACTTAACCTCCAGAGTTGACAAATTGTATGAAGACTACTTATTTTATGTTAAAAAAGCCAATAACATCACTTATTATACTATCGAGGAGTTTGGTAGGGTTGTCACGTCTCACAAATTTGGAGATATTCCTGATCTGCTGGATCAAACTTACAGTTTATTTATTCCTGGGCCGTGAGATCAAAAAGATCAGAGTATTCTTGAAGTTTTGGTATCCAGTTTGCCGGTACGTTGTAGTTTATGGTCGGTCGTGAATCATAGATCATGATTCTAGGTATATATAGACATATACATTTATCTACGAATATATTAGCCGAAAGTATACTCATCTATGCTACGTTACCTAAATGAAAAAATTATTGAATTTACTTTTAGATCATTCAAACTATTTTAAAAATTATTTTTTTTTTTTGCAATATTGCGTGGACGATAAAGTAACCAGTTGAAAACGGCTATTACGGTTACCTAGCTGTTTGCAAATATAAACATATTTAAGTTATCGACTGCAATTGTGTGATAAAACGTACAATACTGCTTACGAGTATCAGTCAGGGTCAGTGGAGAATTGTTGTCATTATAATAATGCTAATTAAATTCTCGAAACTATTCCTCGCCATGACGTATCTCTTTAGGTAACACATTGATAAAGTGGGTATATAAGCTAATCCATTTCTTGGTAGGCAAAAGTAATCAAAATTGTAGTGGCTAAAGTTGAAGATAACTTGACTTCAATGTAATAATTAAAAATATAAAGAAACTACTTACAATATGGATCTTATTTACGGCAAAAGTCGATCTACTTTCAATTCCCTTCGTGTCTGACATCCAAGACATGATTAGTCTGGTCACCGATATATCTGATATTGCGATGGGCTGGCATGATTTGACTGCGAAAAATCTATTTAAAAAGAAAACTGACCCTACGTTGGTTGCAGTTAATAAATTGGCAAATTATTCAATTAGCAAATCTTTTCTTTGCTAAAAAAATACCGACAATATTTTAGATTCTGGAGACTTATTGGACATTTGGTTTGTAATCAGCAACAAATGGTCAGACGTTTCACAATCAGTTGTGCCATTTATGGACCAGCGACTCGTTGCAGCGTCACCTAGAGTTCTAATGGACGGAATTTCTATATTCCATCGTGGAAGAGGTCAATCTGGAGGGTTCCTAGCATTCAAACTGCGGACAATTGGTCTTCACCATTACATAAATCCTAATATGAAGTCCGAAAATGCGGAGCTGTATCTTAAGAAATATCAAGAAATAGAAGATTACTCCTTGTCTCAAGTCGAGTAATGTATTTCAACAACAATAATTTTTTTGTTGATGTTAATCATGGAATTAATATTCCTTTAAATGTTTCATTGTATTAAAGCTATTGAAAATAAAGCATTCAGTCGAAAGACTAACGGGAGCAATTTATTTGCGATAAATACCCGTGTAAAGTTTATCAATTAAATGAGACATTTATTTATTTATTTCAAGTTTGCCTTCTCAGGAAGTTTCCTTTCTCTTGGCAGGAGTTCATGTACATTTTTCTTTACATTTTTTACATATACATATTCAAATATAGATACTCACTAAATTGAGTCAAATAATACATCTCAAAAAATTTTTAATTAATAGGATTATTATTTATTTTAAGCAGACTAATATATCATTAAAGAATTAATTAATGTTTAAGTTTTTAAGACATCTAGTATATGCGGTGAATTCTTTCGTGGTGTGTCAGGTAATACGCCAGTATGGAAATCGTAGGTGTTACAATCAGCGCAGTTTCCAATTTCAGGGGTCCTGGTAGTCATCACAGAGATACAGTACTGCCAGGACATTGCTCATATAGTAGTACAGGTTCTTCAGGTCACCTTTCGTGTGTAGATCGAGGCATTCAGAGACAGTTTTTTCCTTTGCGTTTTCATCAGCAGTAGCAGTAAAGAGAAACTTGTTTCTGAAGGGTGTGTACGTTGGACATTCAACCAGAACGTGCTGAACGTTTTCGTAATTGCGATTATTGCAACTCATGCATTGAATGTTTGGATCAAACGTGTAGACATTGGATTCGTGTTTTAAACGAAGCTTGAAGTTATTTGCCAGTCTTAAGTTAATACTCATTCTTAGCCAGTTTATCGGGCATCTAGCTTTGATGTACTTTGCAGGTTCCAATTTGGGTCCATAGGTATGCCTGCATTGACAGAATGTTGAGGCGGTCCATTTGGCTATATCTTCTTTTCGGAGTTTTTTAGCGTAGTTTTTAAAGAGTCTATACTCTCTATCTTTCCATGTTTGGCTGTTCAGATTTTCCCATAGGTCTTCGTGACCTGTTTCTTTTAAAATTTGATAGAATTGAGCTGCCCAATTGTATTTCGGGTCACAGTTTTCTCCCAGGGACAGTTTATGTAGCCTAAAGAAAGCTATGCGTGGGTATCTATGTCCGGTCATATCTAATATTTTAAGTATCCATCGCCAGGCCTGTTGAAAAATTTTATACTTGACAGGTGTCAAGCCCAGTTCTAGCCTCAGTGCATATCCCGGTGTGCAGCGTGGTAGCAGAAACAGTCTCTTGAAGAAATTTTCTTGGGCTTTTTCAAGCATTTGGTGATGACGAAGACCCCAGAGATGAGCAGAATACAGAAGCGTGGTAGCAATAGTTATATAAAAGAGTTTGCATACGGTGTTCCAGGAGTCCGCTTTGCCTTTAGCGAGAATGTTCAGTGTCTGTAAACTAGCGATCGCTGCTCTAGAAATCGCAGATTCAGCTGCCTTCCTTCCAGACAGTGATCCCGAGAAAACTACGCCTAAATAAGTACAGGAGCTGACTACCTACCTCTATATGCTCTCCATTCAGCGTAAATTTAGTTGTCTTCAACTTTCTGCAATTGCCATTTTTATTGAAGTGGATTATCTTGGTTTCTTGTGTGTTGATAGTGAGGCAGTTATTTTCGCAGTAGTTTTTCAATAAGATGAATTAAATGAGACATAATTATTATCCTTCTCTATTATGATCAATCTCTTAGATGTTCTGAATGTCCATATCATTAGTGTTATAATCAATTTGAATAATAAAATGTTTTTTATAAAACTCGGTTTTTTTGAGTTTTTGACTGGGAGCGTAGAAGAGATATTGATAATATTATTATTTTTAAATGAAAAAATTATTGAATTTACTTTTAGATCATTTAAACTATATTAAAAATTATTTTTTTTTGCAATATTGCGTGGACGATGAAGTAACCAGTTGAAAACGGCTATTACGGTTACCTAACTGTTTGCAAATATGTTTGATTTATGGACTGCAGATATGTGATAAAAAGTACAATACTGCTTACGAGTATCAGTCAGGGTCAGTAGATAGTTACAGTGTTCCCTCCCTAAGATATTAACAGGTTATCTTTTTTTCTCTTGTTAGTAACTAATGAAAAAATGGCGACAGAGCTAAAATATCTTAGGGGGGAAGCGCTGTTCTATTATTTTAAAAAAAATTTCCAAACTAGTCCTCGCTGCTACGTATATCTCTTGATAAGACATTGATAAGGTGGGTATATAAGCGAATCCATATCGTGGTAGGTAAAAGTAATTAAAGTTAAAGCGACTAGAGTAACTTTCAACATAATAATTAAAAATATGAAGAAACTACTTACAATATGTTCCATATGGATCATATTTACGGGAGAAGTTAATCTACTTTCGATTCCCATTGTGTCTGACATCCAAGACATAATTGGTCTGGTCACCGATATATCTGATATTGCGACGGGCCGGCATGATTTGACCGCGGGAAATCTATTTAAAAAGAAAGTTGACCCTACGTTGGTTGCAGTTAACCAACTATCCGATCAGTTAAGCGAACTAACCGAGACGATCAATTTGAAGATGGACAATATAATGACTGCGGTGGTACAAGATGTTCCCAGGGCGCTTCAATTAACAAATCTTATAAGGAAACTCATCGAAATAACCTCCAGAATTGATGAATTATATGTCGACTACTTGTTTTATGTTAAAAAATCCGAAAGTCTCAATGAATATACGATCGACGAGTTTGGTAGAGTCGTCACGTCTCACAAATTTGGAGATATTCCCGATCTTCTGTCGCAACTTTACCATTTATTTATTCCTGGGCCGCTAGATCAAAAAGACCAGAGTATTCTTGATGTCATGATATCTAGTTTTAAGGTAAGTTGTAGTTTATAGTCGCTCGCAAATCACAGATCGTAGATTTTGGAGCATATATTGTCGATCATCCATCATAGATCATAGATTATAATTGTCTTAAAAATATTCAAGGCTATAAAAGAAGAGGATCGGTGTAACCAATTGAAGTCACCTCAGCAACATATTTATGATATTTATGAAACAATTATTGTAACAGAAATAAAAGGCTATTCGATGTCAGCTTGGGCTTATGGCATGCTAGCCATATATCATAATTGTAAGTCTTTTTCTCGCCTTTTTATATCATAACTAACTGGACTAATTGATCCCTGATTATGGGAATAATATTTATTTACGGATACCTATTTCTTTTCAGCGTCTTTTACGATAGAAATAGACAGAGCTACTTATCTTACCATGCAAAGATGTAGCAAATACGTATCAGCTGTGTACAATGCTCTCGAGCTTATTACAAGGGATTTATATTTGTGTGATCCACCAGAACATATAAAAGGTAACGTTAACTTTTACAAATTATCAATACACTGCTAATCGGTAGAATCCAAGAGTATACAAACAAAGCTGATTTTTAAAAACAGGGGAGACCCATGTCCAAATAAATTCAATTACACGAATTATAACTCATGAAGATATGATGTTCAGCTCCTGCGATGACGATTGTTCTAGTATACATCAAAGTTATTATCGAGGACCACATGATTATAAACAGGATTTACTCAAGACTTATTGGAATCCAAATCAACCTTGTCTGGGCCTCATGTACAAGTGTGGAGAAGAAAGATCTATCGATTTCTGCGAATTGGTAAATTAACATCTTTACTAACTTAACTTTAACAGAGAATGATTTATTTTATTATTTTGTAGCCACCAGGATCTGACAAACGCTACTCCTGGATGAGTGCTATTGGGTCACCAACGTATGGTTATCGGGACAGTTGCTCCGATGGAACTAAAAGAAGTATAGTAATTTATAGTAGTTGGTACCAATGTATGTCATGTTTATGCGAATGTTCCGAAGACAAGCCAAATTCCAAGGCGATACGAACTTTTAGTTTGAGGCCACAACTCGCTGATATTGAGAACAACATGTGAATAATTTGATTTTTTTTTTTTTCTTGTGGATTGTAAATAATAAAATGATTACTTTCAGGGTAGTGACCGGTGTTAAATTCGAGCTAAAGGATATGATGATCCATGTACAAATCGAGGAAGGAAAATTGCTCAGGGCCTGTCAGATCGACCAGAGCACAGTTCGTCTGAAGGAGTTGGAAAACTTTAAATATTTGGAAGAGGGCGATGAAGGAAAATTCGTTAAAATAACCGGAGATGATGAAGAAGAATTGAAACACGGCATCGATTATCAATTTATTCGTTTTAAACAGCGTGACGTTAACATAGACAATGTCAACTCACAAGAGCCAGGTTACGTTGTCACCGGATTAAAGATGTCTCAAGACCCAGAAAATGACAAGGCTATACAATTGGACGTCCACATTACGCCCTTTGATTTTACAACAGGCTTGCTCGTTCCAACTGATGACCAACCCTCCAAGTGGATCACTCACAAGGATATGCCGGGTCATGATCGCCCTTTTACTGAACGGTAAGTTATTTTGTGTCTTTCTACAAGGTCAGATATAAAAATTGATTATGTATGGCCATACATGATCATATCAAGCCACATGCTGACAATTTTCATATCAAAATGTAGATGAAAATTCAGCTATTTAAAGCAATATGTATTAATTTTTAACTGGTTACCGTAATTCGATTAATTTCTACTTCCAGAAAAGAGCAAGATGTTACCGAATACGACAGAGGTGATGCTTATACCGACAATCGTCCAAATTCTGAAGACTTTACGGACATTTGGTTTGTAATCAGCAGCAAAGATACAGACGCTTCGCAATCAACTGTGCCATTTATGGACCGGCGACTTGTTGCAGCGTCACCTAGAGTTCCAATAGACGGAGTTTCTCTATTCCATCGTGGAAGAGCACAATCTGGAGGGTTCCTCGCATTTAATCTGCAGACAATTGGCTTTCAATATTTCATAAATCCTAAGATAAATCCCGAAGTTGCGGAGAAGTATCAAAAGCATTACAAAGATATAGAAGAACTCACCTTGTCTGAAGTCGAGTAGTAGGTTTTAACAGCAATAATTTTTTTCTTTGTGTTAATCATGGAATTAATAATCATTTAAATGTTTCATTGTAGTAAAGCTATTGAAAATAAAGTATTCAATTAAAGTACTTACCAGAGCAATTTATTTGCAATAAATACCTGTGCAGGGTTTATCAATTCAATGACACTTTACATTCATATAAATTTATATGCGTATATATTAGACTGATTCAGAATAAAAAAACTTTTTTTTTTTTAGTAAATACATCTAAAAAGATTCTTTGTTAGACCAAAAAAAAACTTCCTGAAAGATGAGCTTGATATCTTGAAAATTGAGCTGGCGCATGGAGGGGGGTGGGGTCCCCCTTTCCCATTTAAAATACTGTAGGGATTGGTGGAGTTCGCGGGTTTCACAACTCAATTACCAATACCTAAATTGTCTAAATATTATATATTTATTCAGTATAAACTTAAACTATTACAATTGTTGTATTAAATAAATAATTAATTATCAGTAAATAATTGCGTCTGAGCGGGCTACAGCTGTAGCGTGTGTTCAGAATATATAGCGTCGTTGTAATCTGGTCTGGCGGTTAGAATCTGCTTCCGCGGTCTCCGTTGTTGCACGATGTCGCCACTACCTTGAGCACTGACGTGCCCCCTCGCGGTAATGTCAGGTACTGGCGCGGGTGCCACAATACATTAAAAAAAAAACTTTTTTCTGTATTTTCATTGTAAATCGTCGAAAAAAATTTTTTTTTAAATTTCCCTTTTTGGTATCGAGTTCCATTGGACGTAATTTCTATATTCCATCGTGGAAGAATAGACTCGGGTGGGTTCCTCGCGTTCAGACTGCGGCTAATTAGCCTTCACGATTACATAAATCCTTATATGAAGCCGGAAAATGCGGTGCTGTATCAAAAGAATTATCAAGAAATAACAGATCTCACCTTGACTGTAGCCGATAAGTAAGTTTCAACAGCAATAATTTTTTAGTTAATGTTAATCATGGAATTAACATTCCTTTAAATGTTTTTATTGTACTGAAGTTATTGAAAATAAAATATTCAGTCAAAATACTAACGAGAGTAATTTATTTGCAAGTAATACCCGAGTAGAGTTCATCAATTAAATGAGACTCTGGATACATATATATTTATATGCGTGTATATTAGCCGAGGGCATACTTAACTATGCTACGTTACCTTCGAGAGAACTTTTCTATTCATTGTTAGAATTTGGAACCGGTTGTCATCAAATCTTGAATTATTGTGTTGAAGAGTTGTATTGGTTCGATTATAACTCATCCTTGTAATCAATATTTTTAAAGTTCGCAATATAAATATTATTATTGCTGTAATCAATTTAAAGAATAGAATATTTTTCATAAAACTCGGTATTTTTGAGCTTTTTACCGGGGGCGTAGGAAAGATGATCATCATATTATTATTTTTGAATGAAAAAAAAAAAAATATAGAATTTAAATTTCAGATCATTTAAGCTGTTTTAACAATTATTTTTCTTTGTACAATGTTGCGTAGACAATAAATTCACCAGTTAAGAACGGCTATTACTTATCTAGGTATTTGCAAATGTTTTTTAGCTATCGACTACAATTTTGTGATAAAAACTATATCATTGTTTACGAGTATCGGTCAGGGTTAGTGGATAATTGCTGTAATTAGAGAAACGTGAATGAAACTTGCAGAATGCTCCTCGCTATGACGTATATCTCGTGATAAGACATTGATAAAGTGGTTATATAAGCGAATCCATATCTTGGTAGGTAAAAGTAATTAAAGTTGAAGCTGCTCAAGTTGACGATAACTCACCTTCAATATAATAATTAAAAATATGAAGAAATTACTTACAATATGTTCAATATGGATCTTATTTACGGCAAAAGTTGATCTACTTTCGATTCCCATTTTGTTTAACATCCAAGACATGGTTGGTCTGGTCACCGATATATCTGACATTGCGATGGGCCGACATGATTTGACTGCGGGAAATCTATTTCGGAAGAAAACTGACGCTACGATGGTTGCAGTCAATAAACTATCCGATCAAATAAGCGAACTGACCGAGACGATCAATGTGAAGATGGACAGAATGATGACTGCGGTGCTAGAAGATGTTCCGGGGGCAATTCAGTTAGCGAATCTCATGAGGAAACTCATCGATTTAATCTCCAGAGTTGACAAATTGTATGGAGACTACTTATTTTACGTGAGAAGATCTGGTAACGTCACTCATTATACTATCAAGGACTTTGGTAGGGTCATCACATCTCACAAATTCGGAGATGTTCCCGATCTTCTGGATCAAACTTACAGTTTATTCATTCCTGGGCAGCTAGATCATAAAGATCAGAGTATTCTTGATACTATGGTATCCAGTTTGCAGGTAAGTTGTAGTTTATAGTCGGTCGTGAATCATAGATCATGATTCTAGGTATATATAGACATATACATTTATCTACGAATATATTAGCCGAAAGTATACTCATCTATGCTACGTTACCTTTGAGAGAACTTTTCTATTGAGTGAGTGTTAGAATTTGGAACTGGTTGCCTTCTTGAATTATTGTGTTGAGGAATTTTATTGTTATGATTATTATCTATTATGGTTTAAATCCACAGCTCCCTTGTACCCTCTGCAATTTGCATGAAAATGAAGATTTGTCTCACATTTTTCTCAAATGCCCAGTTTATCATCCATACAGAGAATTTTATTTTGTACCACTGTTGCCTAACAAACACCTTAGAAGCTGATGCTGATGTATTACCCTTTCTTCTCAATGACCAGCAACCCGCAACTTGCAAAGCAATCTACCTCTTCCTTTCCCGCTCAATGAGACTACGGGCCTTTTGCCTTAACGAATAAATACACTTAATATTTGCCTTGCAATTTTAATTTTAACTTTTTAATATTAATTCGACAGCTTTCCTCAGTTACCCTCTGATAAAAATTTTGTAAAATTCTTATGTATATTTATTTATTATAAGCTAGTAAATTGTTAAATTTTATTTAATTCCGCACGTATTTAGGCGGCCTTACCAATTACGTGTAAATTAACTAAATTATTTACTTTGTATCTTTGACTGTTACTCACTATTGTGCAATGTTTTTTACTAAGAATACTTATTATACATAGACTGTATTTAAAATTATTTGCTGTAAGCTATGCTTTAAAAGTAATATTATTAAATAAATAAATAAACAAATAAATTGTTGTAATTATTAGTCCTTCTTGTGATAAATATTTTAATGTTCTTAACATAAGTATTATTGTTGTTTTAATCAATTTAAATAATAAAATATTTTTTATAAAATTCGGGATTTTTGGGTTTTTTAATTTAATTGAAAAAATTATTAAATCAAATTTTAGATCATTTAAAATTTTGTTTTTTGCAATATTGCGTAGACGATTAATTAACCAGTTAAAAACGGCTATTATTTTTATAGTTATTTGCAAATATTTTTTAGCTATCGACTGCAATTTTATAATAAAAAATATAATGTTGTTTACGAGTATCAGTGAAGGTCAGTAAATAATTGGTGTTATTATTTAAATTCTAATAAATTATTCAAACTGGTCAGTGCTACTACGTTTATCTCTTGATAAGACACTGATAAACTGTGCATATAAGCAAATGTACACCTTGGTAGTTTAAAATAATTAAATTTTAACGCATCTTAAGTTGACGATAAAATACCTTTAAAATAATAATTGAAACAATGAAGAAATTCATTACAATATGTTCAATAAGGATTTTATTCACGGCAAAAGTCGTTCTACTTTTGATTCCCTTTGTGTCTGTCATCCAAGGCACGGAAATATTTTTGAATGATCCACCAGAACATATAAAAGGTAACGTTAATTTTTACAAATAACCAATACACTCCTAAATATCTGAATCCAAGAGTATATAAACGAAGCGAATTTTTGAAAACAGGGGAGACCCACATCGAATTAAATTCCATCAGACGAATCATAGCTCATGAAATAATGATAATTGACGACTGTTCATCCAGTTGTGGTGGTATAAGTCATACTAATTATAAAAACGAAGCTTTAAATCATAGAATACCAGTATCACAATGGTATACCCGAACATTGTATTGGAAACCACTTCAACCTTGTCTTGGACTAATGAACAATTGTTATGGTATTGGTACCACCAACGTTTGTGAATTGGTAAATTATTATTTTTATTGACTTAACTTTTACAGAAAATATTCGATATTATTATTTCATAACCGGCGGGATACGACACACGTTATAGTTGGATAGATAGTAAATCCGTCGGTTCATTGGGACCTAAGGACAATTGCGCTAATGGAAATAGCAATTGAGCAGGAAATACCTACTTTTACTGGTAGATGGGGCGAATGCGAGGTATGTTTCTGTGAATGCTCCGATCAGAAAGCGGAATCCAAGGTGATACGAACTTTCAGTTTAAGGCCACAACTCGCTGATATTGAGAACAACATGTAATTAATTTGATTGTTTTTTTTTTTTTCTTATAAGATAATTGTAAATAATAAAATGATTATTTTCAGGGTTGTGACCGGTGTAAAGTTCGAGCTAAAGGATATGATGATCCATGTACAAGTCGAGGAAGGAAAACTGCTCCCGGCTGGTCAGATCGAGGAGAGCTCACTTCATTTGAAGGAATTGGAAGACTTTAAAAATCTGAAAAAAGGCGACGAAGGAAGATTCGTTAAAATTAATGGGGATGATCAAGAAAACTTGGAACACGGCACCGATTATCAATTTATTCATTTCGATCATCGCGACGTGAACCTGGACAATGTCAACTCACCGCCAGGTTACGTTGTCACCGGATTGAAGATGTCTCAAGACCCAGAAACTAGCAAGGCTATACAATTGGACCTCTACATTACACCTTTTAATTTTTCAAAAGGCTTGCTCACTCCAACCGATGACAAACTCTCCAAGTGGCTCACTCACAAGGACATGCCGGGTCATGATCGCCCTTTTATTGAACGGTAAGTAAATTATTTTGTAAATCAGTTATGTATGGCCATACATGATCATTTCACGATTTCTGCTTCCAGAAAAAAGCTCGACATTCGCAACTAAAAAAAGAGGTGATGATTATACCTACAATATATTAGATTCTGAAGACTTTGAGGACATATGGTTCGGAGTCAGTAACCAATATTCAGACGTCTCGCAATCGACTGTGCCATTTATAGACCGACGACTCGTTGCATTTGACGGAATTTCTTTATTTCATCGTGGAAGAGAAGAATCGGGTGGGTTTCTCGCGTTCAAACTGCGGACAATTGGCCTTCACGATTACATAAATCCTTATATGAAGCCGGAAAATGCGCTACTGTATCAAAAGAATTTTCAAAAGGTAGCAGAAATCACCATGCCTGATGCCCAGAAGTAGGTTTCAGCAGCAATAATTTTGTAGCTTATGTTTATCATAGAATTAACATTCCTTTAAATGTTTTACTGTACTGAAGTTATTGAAAATAAAGTATTATTATTGTGCTTTACTTGTACACCTCTCGGTTTTTACAAGGCTGATTCCTCTTTTTCTCCTAGCTCTACGCTTTTCCTATTTCTCATATTGGACCTCAGCAAGTCCCACCCGACACTTCACTTTTACTTTTAATTTTTTTTTTTTGCGGCTGTGGCCCGACTTGTGCTTTCTGTACCGTATTCACCCTCAATCTCACCTCTCAGGCTGTTGGAACAGAACCATGGGGAAACCACAGAGAAAACCCATGATAGTACAGTCGGAGCTGGGCTAAGTCTACAGTAATTGATAAGAAACTCTTCTTTATCGACCACTAGAGCATTAGTTCCTTCTCCTAGTGTGCAAAGATTCCTCGAGCTAGCCAACGCTGACTAGAGTGGTCACCCAATTAAGTTGTAGCTTAATTGGATGATCGCCCAAGTCAGACATGTGCCGCCCGGCTATCTCTGCCACTTTCAGAGGCTGGCAATGTAACGCACATATTTTTATCACTGAAAAATAGTGGTGCGTGTCGGGATCGAACCCGGGTCCCACTCTTCCGAAAAGTGACCACCGAGCCGACTAAGCTATTGCCCGCCTTTTTGAAAATAAAGTATTCAGTCAAAGTGTTAACGAGAATAATTCGCAGTTGCAAAAAATACCCGAGTAGAGTTTATTTATTAAACAAGACTCGAGATACATATTCATTAATAAGCATATATATCAATTGAGGGTATACTCAATAAATAATTAAAAATAATTAATAAATAAATAATAGTTAACTATTATTAAATTAAAATAATAAAACATTTTATTAATATTTCGTTATCAACTACGTAAATAGTTAGACACTGCCATTACTTTTCTAGGTATCTGCAAATTGTTTATATCTATCGACTGCAATTTTGTGATAAAGAATATACTTTTTTTTTTTGCAGTGTCTGTGAAGGTTAGTGGATAATTGCTGTTACAACGTAACCGCTATTACGTATGTCTCTTGTACATTCGACACTCTAGATGCACATGCATTTATATGCGTATATATTTTTCAAATGCATACTCTATTATGCCGCGTTACATTTGAGAGAACTTTCTAATAAAATTTTGCATCTTTGATTTTTTATCTGAGGGCGTAGGAAAGAAGTTATACAGACAATATTATTATTTTTAAATAAAAAAATTACTGAATATTCTTAAAAGTATTTACTTTCTAAGAATCCAAACGAAGAATTTTTTTTATAAATAATTTCGTTATAAAAAATTATTTAATAAACTAATTTTGAGAATTTAAGATATTTTTATTAGAAAATTTTTTAAACTGGGCGCGTAGGAAAGAAGTCTTTATTATTATTATTTATTAATGAAAAAATTACCAAATATACTTCAAAGTATGTAGTTTCTAAAAATCCAGACGAAGATTAAAAATTTTTAATCTTTCTTACCAAGAAAAATTATTCAAATTTTTATTTTTTAGCTTATTAATAAAAAATAATGATTTTGTTCTTCTAATAAATTTACTGAGTTAGTATTTAACATTTCCGTCATTACTATAGTATTAGACACGTGTGTAAACCGAGCAGGCGGCAAACGAATATGATTTAATGGAATTGTTTCAAATTATTCCGTTTGTTACGTGAAAACTCGTAGTTTAATTGGAGATATAATCGACGATTTAAATTGCCCAGAGTTCTTCTGCTCTCCACTCATCATTAATCATCAATCACTATTTATTATTATATTACCAACACTAACAGCAGGTAGATCAAAAAAACGAGACTCTGTTTACGAATAACGTTAATCTAAATAAATTAGCTTGGTAAATTCGTCAAAAGCTCTTTTGTTCCAGATAATTAAGCTGTTAATTATCAGTTGATAAAATTGTTGTTTTTAAAAATACACAAAATGATAATTAAGTAAAAATAACTTTGAATCGGAACCGGTAATTGGTACACAGTAAAAAATTTTGCGTCATTGCGTCAAAAAACTTAGTGTTAAAAATTTTTGTTTTTTTTAAATAATATGTCATGCGTAATAATGATGATGATTTGAAATATGATCAGAAGTTTAAGATTTAAAAAAAAATTAGAATTTCAAAAAATTATATTATGATTAAATTTAAGACAACTAAATTAATTTATTAAATTTAAGTAAATCATGTATTTAAAACATGGACAAATCAATTTTTTGATATATTTTATTATTTTTTTTTCAATAATTTTGAATTTGAAAATTTATTAAAAATTAAATTTTGTTAAGCAACTTCTATAAACCGAAAACTAAATTTAACATTATTTTTTCATGAAAAAAAAGAGAATAATTACATTATACAATGTAACTTGGCGCTTCATATAAAAAAATGTAAAAATTACAATTTCAGATTGTAATTTTTACGGGTTTTGTGAGAATTACATTGTAAAATGTAAATATTACATATTTATAGATGTAAAAATTAACATTTAAAGTTTGAATATTAGAAATGTTATTGCGAACTGTATACAGTAAAACATTTTGCGTCATTGCGTCAAAAAACTTAGTGTTAAAAATTTTTGTGTTAAATATTTAACACAAAAATTTTTAACACTAAGTTTTTTGACGCAATGACGCAAAATTTTTTACTGTGTAATTTTGATTTAATTATTTTGTGAATTATTTCAATTCGCGTCGTTGTTAAATTAAATTGAGCAAAAATGATTGAAGTAATTTTGAGATTTACGGTGAAATTTTGAAAGGGGCTTTAAATTTAGTAAGTTCTGACAAAGCTCCGGTGAAAAGTGATGGTGAATTGATGAAAAATATTATATGGGAAAAGGGAGCGATATAATAGGTGTATGACAAAAAAGGCTCCGGTGGCGAGAACACGTCGCTGGCTCTTTAATCTTCCAATGGTATATATGTATAGCAATAGTTTAATTAAACCAGGCTGGTGAAACGTGGTAATGCGTTTCTGTCGGCAACAGCCGCGCGTCTGTCCCCAGTATCTCGAATAACTTTAACCCCCATTCCGCAGACACACGTATATGTGCATTCGTTACTGTTATATCGGACACTATATTCCTATGCTTTCATTTCGACAGTGATAACATATGTAATGCATAATTGGATACTCCAAAGAGTAATCGTTTCTACATATTATTATTCATTTTATTTATTTCGGATTAAAATTTTTAATTATTATTTTTATACTCTATATGTATTTTTTTATTTCAGATAATTATAATAATAATAATAATAATAATAATAATAATAATAATTTAATAATAATCTTGTTATAAATAAATTTTTTATAGTTTTATAGAAGATAGCCCCGTAGTATAAAAACATTATTGATAGGTAATTTATTAAGCTACAATTTTGGTCTTATAATTTTTTGATAAAATTTATATTTCAGCAGTTATAATCATTATTAGAGTAACTAAATAATAATTAAAAAATTTTGTTCTTAAATAATAATAATAAATGATTATTTGATAATAACTCTAATTAAAATTTTCCATTAAGCCGTGGACGAAAACAAAAAAAAAGCAAAACTGGAAAATAATTAATTTTTAATACTCTTCAAAAAGCAATTAATCATATTCCAAATTATCGACTGCATGTCATGATATACGATATGATGATTCAATAAAATAAATGAAATAAAATTGTGAGTAGAAAAATTGGGTCAGAAATGACATCAAATAAATTTTTTACTTTTTTATCAAATATAAATCAAAGTTTCGATTGAAAATCCAGCTTGGAATTTTTATCTCGAGCTCCATACTGTTTCATTAGAATTTATCAGATTGCCTGGGTATTGAGTACGTGTCACACTCAAACCCAATTTTTTTCCCTCGAATAACCTTTGCCAAACATTCCACCGAAAAATCTAATTGGACTGGTCCATCTTAAAGTAAAAAAAAAAAAAATCCAGCATGCTGAGATTATTTCGCCGAGCAAATAGATATGAGGAGTGACGGAAGGCATAAGTTTGTAGGCTCTCGAAATTAACAGAATTGGCGGAGCGGTAATTCCCATCCGAATTTCCGACCGGAATATTGCGCTTCGGAATGTCCCTGCGGTCTTATGCCGGCATGTCGTGCCCGCTATTAGCAAATGGCTCCCAGCGGTCACTGTTTAGTAGCTTTAAGCTCACCGTTTATACATACTTACCTCGATGCTCTTCATACCTTGTAAGTTTTACGGCCCCTGATCTCACTCGAGACTTAGATATCTTATCCAAACATTTTTATAATTGCTAATTTATAAATTTGGCCTTTTGGCTCCGATTAAATGGCCTTACCCCCACTTATTTCTTTTTCCAACTTTTTTTTATCATTTCTTACTCTCACAATTATTTTAAAAAATTAATAACTTATTCCTTAATCAATACTAACTAAAAAAAATTTTTTTATTTTAAAATTTCTCCAATTTACTATTTATAAAAATAAATCTAAATATTTTTGGTATTCAATTATTTGGTAAAAAAATAATAAATTTTATCGAATAATTTTTTTTTTAATAATACCTCTATTGATTTTTGTTTTAATATAAAAATTTTACTTCTCCTCTGAAACTTTCCAATCAATAAAACAAAAACAGTTTCAGACAATCCGATCAATTATCGCAACTTTGCAATATCGAAGATGAAAAATTCAACAGCCGTCTCTCTCTCAAGCTGTAAAACGAATTCTTCGGTACTATGAATTCTACTCGCAGACAAGGTTCGGTGGTATCTCGGACGTTAATTTGAATCACTGTCACGTCAACCGAAAGGGCCTTTCGAGCTACTCAATTTACCGTATCTCACCCAGTAGTTATATATACATACATTCATACATATATATATATATATATATATATATATATATTTGATTGAATAGCAGTGGAGGTAGAGCCGGTTATACCAGAGCTCACCACAGTCTCTCCGGTTGTACGAGCACGAGTTTCGCAGCCTCAGGAAATAATTCGTATTTACATGAATATTGAATATGTACTCCTGGGTGAAGGCGTTAGTCCATTAAATCAAATTACCTACGCGAACCGCTAACCGCATCAAGTCACTACTGCCGGGCACCCGGGAATCTTATATTACTGTTTCCTGGCGATATCTCTGACACCTAGTCGACCTTTCGTCTGTATTTTTCAGTAAAGAAGACCAAAAAATGGAAAAACTAGTAAAAAAGCTCATGAAAAAATTTTCTGATGTAAAAATAGATCATAGGAAGCCAGATTAGGTTATATAAGACTCAATATGCCTGTATTTATAGTTTTTTGAAAAAAGTTAGTCCTAAAAAAATCCGACAGGTGGCGTATAGTTACTAAATCTTCTCACAAGTAGAAAGTTAATTCTAAAGTATTTATATTTAAAATAAAAATTATCTTTTTGACTCTTTTAAAGACTTTATTTAACATTAATTATTAATTTAATTACTTATAAGGTCTTATTTAGTTTAATATACTTATAGAAAGACTTTTTAAAAAAATTAGTTTTGAAAAAATCCGACAGGTGACGCATGGTCGTAGAATTTTCTCGCTAGTGGAGAGTTAATTCTAAAGTATTTACATTTAGTTGAAAAATTATATTTTTGTCTCTTTTCAAAAGCTTATTTGGGATTAATTGTTGACTTAATTAACTTTTATAAGAAAAAATACAATTTTCCTGAAAAATCAGACCAGATTAAAAAATTTTAGCTGGCAAGAAGATAAGTGACATGTTGTGTCTAATGAATATCGTCGGGCGAGGGAAATGAGATCCTCTCGAGTTCATTAAAAAGTTAGGGCGAACCTGAAGTTCTCTTTAGCCGGGTAGATGGCGTTAGTAGCGCAACAACAAGGCTTGTGGACTAAAATCCAAAGGTGTAGAGAGAGTCCTAGCGCACTTTCTCATCAGCGGTTTGAAAACAGCGTTAACCACATCGTACCCTCTATCCAGCTCTGCGTAGTGTCTACACTATTCTACGTCCGATCCAGAGCCGTAGGGCGAAAGTGCAAAGAAAGGCCTAAATACTCTCCACTCTCTACCCTTCACTTCCCGGTCGGCTTTCCTCTAGCTCCTGCTAAACAATATAGCACTGTCCGTTAACTTTCTAGTGAGCCGTGAGGTAACTAGCCCGGCCGCCAGTAACTACTAACTCAGTTATTCTACACTGACAAACCTGGCCACTGGAGTTGAGCTAGTTTTCTCCGGTAGTGTGTTGTGTTGGGATGTGTTGTACGGCGAATGAGCTCCTGCAATGTCTGGATTCGCATCCCGAGCCAGTGGCTGGTATGCATCCGAAAACTCACTGGAAACTGAGAGCTGAGAGCACAAAACACGTCATCACGACGGACAATAGACGACAACTTTTGTGTGGAGAGAAACAAAAACTCGCGGTCATTAAATAAACTTTTGTTTATACGGTTGTTTGACAATTAGTTTACGCTAACGTGTTTTAGTTATGTGCTAAATCTAATTTATACTCACTCCTGCTCTACACTTTTTTGCTATTCTCACAAAGAATAGACGCTAGAGACGGTTCCTCTTTAAATGTTAATTAGTTTTTAGTTTTGTTTTAAGCCCTGGATACTTTTAAACTATCGGCTTATGCGCTGTATCAACCGCTCTGTTTGACCTTTTGTTCTTTTGTTTTTTCAGCTTATAAAAGTTTATAATTTTATTATTACGTAAAGGTTCCTGGATTTTACTCGGACAGTCGTTGTGTTTGATAATTTATTATTCCTTTAAGCATACATTCTCGATTTTTTATTTAAATGTTAAATTATAAAATTTAAATCTCCAATAGTGAGAAGATTTACCGCTCATGCGCCATCTGTCGGATTTTTTGAGAACTAAATTCGATCCAAATATTATCTACAGATATATTAGACCATATTGGGCTATGTGTCAAGTTATTGAGACATATTAAGCTATATTAGTACTTATAAAAAATTACACATCTGTTAAAAACTAACTAAGAAGTTAAAATACATATTTTTATGGTATAAGCTTATATTTAAAAAATTAACTCTCTAGTAGTGAGAAGACTAGCTACCATGCGCCACCTGTCGGTTTTTTTAGAACTAAATTCTATCAAAATATAATTTATGGGCATATTACACTATATTAATATATATATATATATATATATATATATATATATATATATATATATATATGACCATATTAGGTCATAAATAGACTTATCAAGTCACATATAGCCATAAAAAATTTTTTGCATTCAAAATTTTCCATACTTTTAATAATCATTAGTTAAAACGGGGCAGTTTAAAATTTTATTGACAAAGAAAAAATAGAATAAAATTAGCATGTTTATTATTAATACAATAAAATTATTCAAATGAAGGAGTCGGATGAATCGGTAACTGGCATTAATTATCGTGAATATTGAGTAATTGTCTGTCGGGTATCTATTTACATTAAACGTTCTATTATCGAAAAACTGACATATTTACATTTAACATGTATTAATGTCATTTCGAACAGAGAACTCACTTATCTGAAAACAGGATCCTGGCCAGAGTATCCACTAGCGTCACTCCCATCATCGTCTATCGACTTTCCCAGTCCGGCTAGGCATCAGAGAGTGTAACTGCATTACCGAGTTAATTGCATCGCGGTCCACCTTGTTAACTTATCGCACTCGAGATTTTAATCCATAATTGAATTATTGAGCGACAGCCAGCTGACCAGTACCCTCCCAAAAAATTCAAACTTTCAAACTCTCACGTAATTGGCTTTTAAAAATTTATAGACAACTTTATAACTAATAATTCATAATAAAATAACGATAAACGATAACGATACCATTATTGAGATGGATGTGAGAGTGCTCCTCGTTGTAAATTATCTCGGAGCGGTCGCTGGCGGTTGAGCTGGAGCTCAAAGCGCTGTTATGCTGGCCACGACGTGACCGTCTGCCCAAAGTTCCCCCGCTGACGCTCCCAGTGCTCGCATTTCCGCCCCCAGCTACTGATCCTGATCCTGAGCTCGTTTTCTTGCTGGGCGCCGCGTAAATCACCTCCCCTGTGGCGATCAACAATAACAACACAATAGATCACTGATCTAAATAAAATTTACATTTGTTGTGCTTTATAACGGGGATAAATATGCTTTAAGGAGTCGATCAACAAGGATCATTAGCCGAGCACAACATTCAGGGCACCTGAAGAGAGGAAGAGAAAGAGGAAGGATTACCGTTGGCGACGTTTCGCGATCGATCCGACGACACGCTGTTGTTGTAATGATGTCGCCGGGAATTTGTGCTTTCCATGGGAAATGGCGAAGCCTGCCGGTGATTTGGCGTCAACGCTCCCGGTACTGATCCTGCTACTGCTACTGATGCTGGAAATCCCGTCGTTTGATTTTCTGACGTTACTCCACCCTCATTGTCTGATACTGCACGGTGATATGTGCGATCGTTTGTACCTACAACATTTTTTTTTACTATAAGTTATTTATTTTTTCATTAAAAAAATTTTTTTCTTACACAAAAATTTATTTTATAGTCTCTCTAACTAAAAATAAGACAGATAAGCTCCTTAGAAAAGTTAAAATACTTATTTTTATTTTAGAACCTTATATTTAAAACATCAACTCTCTAGTAGTGAGAAGATTCAGCCGCCATACGCCACCTATCGGATTTTTTGAGAACTAAATTAGATTAATATCTTATTTATGGACATACTACTCTATATTAAGCTATATAAGAAGTTATAAAGACATATTAAGTCATATTATTACTTATAAAAAATAACTAATAACTCAAAATATTTATTTTTAATTAGAACCTTATATTTATAGTATATTACACTACAAGGGCAGAAAGTTTGAGATTCTTGCACTGCGCGCCATATGCCCGAGGCGAAGCCGAGGGCATCATGGCACGCAGTTCAGGGCTCTCAAATTTCTGCCCATGTAGTGTATATTAGTTTTCTTACTATGCGGTCGAAAGTACGTTAAAAATTGCGTTGAAAAAAATTGATGCCTGCCCCCGACATTTGCGGCACGAGCGAAGCGAGTGCTGCTGGGTCGGGAGGCAGGCATCAAATACACCTGTCAATAAAGATATTAATATATAATCTATCATATTACTACTTTCTTTTAAGAAAAGATCGTAATTTAACTGAATAAACGTATCATTTAAATTAACTCTCTAGTTGTGAGAAGATTTGGCCACCATGCACCACCTAGCGGATTTTTTCAGAACTAAATTCGATCAAAATTTTATTTACGGGCATATTAGGCTTTATTGAGCTATTTATGAAGTTATGAAGACTTATTAAGCCATATAAGTATTTATAAAAATTACACATGTGCTAAAAACTAAAATTTTATCGACGAATTTATAGATATAGATAAAAAATCCAATATAGACAAAAAAGATGAGGTTGAATGTCGAGGGGCTGACATGAGGCGAAGCGAAAAGACATCGCCGGAGATCGAGACGTCAGGGGTCTGATTCGCCACCGGGGGGAGGATGTTCGAGATGTTAGAGATGCTGTAGCTGGTGGAACAGAGGAGATGGTTCAAGTACAGCCGTAGCAGGAGCCGGAGGATGAGGATGAGATATAGAGAGCGCAGTGGAGGGTTGTGAAGCGAAGAGGGCATAACACAATTACATGTGGGGTTGACGGTGGGTTCTCTCAGCTCGCTCACTCTAGTTCGGCTGAGAATCGCAGAACCGAGGTTGGGGTCTAACTCCCGAGGATGCTGGGTGGCAAGATTGAATATGAAAGTTTAATGCGAGCAATATCACCGCCACTGGCCCGGCCCACGGCTACTCACTCTCAGACGTCTCGACTATTGCACTGTCTATCTTTGGTCTCAGTACTCTCTTAGAAGCTAGACACACTTTAGCTCTTCCACTGGCTTTATCTCTATCTCCAGAGCTCTTACACATTTTAGCTTTATTTTTATTTTTATTTTTATCCTCATCCTTATCCTTTATCTAGCTCCGACTCCATTTCTAAGAGGTGCATCCGATCTGGGGTATGCTGCTGGAAGCCAACAGTCACCCAAGACACGAATCTGGTGACTCAGATGCCCTCTGTGCCCTTCAAATCTCTCCCGCTTTATTATTTCACACAAAAATACACTTTTATTATCAATCTCGTGTCCATAAAAAAATTCTACAAATAATAAATGAAAATAAACGGGATAATTTATTAATAAATGAACAATATTCAAATATCTAGATAATTATTTTCTTTATTATTAATTACAGCGGTAATTTTAGTAGCATAGAAGATGTGTGCTTCTATACGAAGCTTTTATAATTTTCTGTTAAATTTCCTTTCTCAGGGGTTTAACAAAAGGAGTAAACCACTGGTAAGAAAACGAACGCTCCTCTTCTCGTCTCTAACCCAAAGAAGGAGCATTCTATATCTACTAGAGAGTAAAAACATGGGATGAAAGTCCCGGAAGTTACAACAGAGAAGGGTTGAAAGGTGCATGAGAGACTCGAAAGAGAGAGGGGGATTGAATCTTGTCGGTAATTAATGAGGAAAGTTTTATAAATAGCTAAGAGCGCAGTTACCCAAGTATACCTACCAAAAGTAAATTCTTTACTTTTCTAAAAATATTTAACATATATAAATATAACTTTTAGTCTTTGTATTATGACAAACTATTTTTATTTCATCTTAATACATTGATATTGTGTAGAATTTTTTATTAAAACTCTAAGAATAAAATTAAAAAGTGAAAAAGATAAGAGTTTGGTCAGACGGTTTGATTATCTAGTCAGTAGGGCATCCGGTGTTTAGTCCGACATAAAATTGCCGAGCGTTTATTTGTCGGATTTATGTAGCTAGAGTGTTATCGCGATGCTATTTGATAAAGGACCTTTCTCCTTTCTATTTCAGTGGTATACACATTCACTGGCATTCATCTTATCCTTACCCTTCTACTACGTTACCAAAATTTAGTGCCTTGTCCAGGCAATCCATCAGAGATTTTATTCTCGCCTTTTAATCAAAACAATTTGTTTTAAATCTTTGATGTATAAATACTCAGCGTTAAATAACGGAAGTATTTTCAGGATAAAAGGAGAAAAGAAAAGGAACAAGTTGATTTAGATATATATAGAATATAAGAATAAGAATGAGTGGCGCACGATCAATAACCTATTGACGTCTTTGAGTGTACGATAAATTAGAAATTAAATTCAAGCGAACTGGAGTGTCGGTGCAGTATAATATAAAATCACGTTAAAGGAATTAAATACGTTTTATAATGATAATAATAAGTAAATGAAATAAATAATATGTAGAATGGTTGTCGTTGTCGTTGGCGTGAGAGTTGCACCAATGGCATTCTTATATTGCATAAAAAAGTGCATACTTTCTGTATAATAAAAATACGTGCTTTAGATTGTGCTCCAAGCTCAAAAGCAAGCATTCTCAAGAAGTTATATTTTTTGTGTGTATGTGGAAAGATACACGTGCATATAATACTCTGGGATACACGTAATACGTATTGTTACGTATGTTCAAGACGTTTGCCATTCAGCCATTGACTTGTTCAAGAAACGTGACACGAACCGTTTTACTCTTTCGTTTGTATATTACTGAATCTTTAGACTTTTATTTTCGTCATTTAGATTTTATCACTTCTATCACGGCCAGATAACAATTATTTATATTTTTACGTTGCAATTTATCTACTTTTTTTTATTTTTTTCAATCAAAAAGGTTTATGATCCAGTAAAATATAATTATTTATACCCATAAATAATTTTTGACGGGTAAAATTTCATTAATTGTTAAAAAAAAGTTTTTTAATGTTTTTTCTATAAATGCTTCATTCAATTAACGTATCAAATTTAATTGAAGTTAATTTAAAAGTCATTTGACGACAAATAAGCTTCCTGAAAGAAACAAAAACAATCATTTTTTATTTTAGAATTAAATACCTTGATTTCAACTCTCCAGTAGTAAGAAGATTTAACTACCATGCGCCACCTGTCGGATTTTTTCAGAACTAAATTTTTTTAAAAGCTAAATGTAGACTTTTGAGGACATGTTAAGCCAAATATGATCTAATCTGGCCTTGTATGACTTGAAACTTAATTAAATTAATAATTAATGTAAAATAAGCTCTATAAAGAAGAAAAAAAAATTTTTATTTTAAATATAAATACTTTACAATTAACTTTCTACTATAGAGAAGATTTAGCGAGCATACGCCATCTATGGGAATTTTTTAGAACTAAATTTTGCAAAAAAGCTAAATGTGGATATATTGAGCTAAATAGTACCTAATCTGATTTTATATGGCTTGAAAGTTAATTAAATTAATTATTAATGTAAAATAAGCTTTTTAAAAGAGATAAAAAAGTAATTTTTATTTTAAATATAAATACTTTAAAATTAACTTTCTACTATTGAGAAGATTATGCGACAATGCGCCATCTATCGAAATTTTTTAGAAGTAAACATTTTTTTGTTAAAGATTTTTATTAAAAATCTTTATTTAATTATCTTTGTTAAAAAAATTTAATAGAATAAATATCTAAATAGTATATTTAAAAATTTTAATTATTATTGCATTGAACAATTGTCTGTAATAATTACAAATGAGTGATGTGAAAGAAAGTAGATGAAATAATAAATTAGCTGGTTATTAGAATTTTCGATCAAGAGATTGATATAAATAGTCGGGTGCATTATGTAATATATGTATATAGTCCCGAACTGGTCCTTTGAATGTGAAAAGCTCAAAAGCCTCGTTATTTTCCCGTATGGCAGTCTCTATGTCTGATGTCTGATGTCTTTTCCGGAAATTTAAAATGGTAATTTCGCAGTTTTCTCCCTCGTCTCTGGCACCGGTACGGCGCACCAGCTTCTGTAGCAGGAGTATCGGGAAAGTTGCTCGTGACAGCAGTGTTTCTGATCCGACATTTAATTTGCGTCAGAGTAACGCGTCCAAGTCGTAGTAGTTGTCGCAGTATTACTACCGTTTTCCCTTTTCCTATCACACCCATCACGCCCGCTACATTTTTTCTTCCCGATACATTTTTCCCATTATATTATTCTCTTTGGCCCGCCGAGCCCTCCCCCTAGACGCTGGCCTTCAAAGACATTCCTCGAATAGAAAAAAATTAGCATCTCATATTTTATCAACGAAAATTTAATTTTACCTATCGGATATTGGCTCGTCAATTAATATAAATTTACTTTTAGTTTAAATTTCACTTCAAAATTCCATGTTATTATAACTATAAAAATCATTTTCTGGAAAGATAAATTTATTTAACGTTTTATAAATATATTTTCTGTTAGTTTTCGTTCAAAGAAAAAAAAAAAGACTCAGAGAGAGTTGAGCACACGCTTACCTACCAAATCGATGTTTCAACATGTTTCAACGATCCGAGTTCTTGTATTTGCGTCTCCACCATTTTCATCTAAGAGTAGAACTCACTTTATCGATGCGAATCGCTGAGTCTAACCCAACTGGATCCAAGATGTCATTCAATCTCTTATTTTTACTTTTGTTTTTTTATTTTAACAATCGGTTATCACTTTCTGGTTTTGTTTTGGCTATATTAAGCTCAATTTCTTAGTAAATAAATTTAATAAATATTTTTAATATTTAATTTATTAATTTTTTATGAATTAAGAACTATCAAAATTAATTTATTATATTTTCTAAAAAAAAATTAATTAATTTAAAAATTTATTTAGTGATTATAAAAATGAAAATTAACGTAATAATTGATGTCTATTTTTAGAAAAAAAAATTATAATTATAATTAAATATAATCAATTAATTTTAATTAATTAGAGAAAAAATTGAAGTCAATAAATTAATAAATAAAAATATTCATTAATTTTTAATAAATTTTAATTAATAAAAAATTGATAAATTAAATCTTAAAAAATTTCTTCATTAATGTAAATTTTATCTACAACTTAAAAAATTGATCTAAAAAAATAATATTATCCAAACAATCTATAAATAAACCTTTAAAAGTTTAATCGAGGGTATTGCATAAAAAATAACTCGACAGACGACAGTTTATTGACCAGAATAATTTTTTCACAATACACTGCGACGTCTTATTGATTCCAGTGCTATCAATAGCTCGTACGACGACTGCCCCTCAAATCATTAGGATTTTACACACATATATATAAATATAAATATAAATACACGAGTGGAATGCACTTACGTGTACTTGGAGACAATAAGTCTCTAGGAAATAATGTATAGATGGGCACACACCGACATTTACTGGTAACATATTATCGAGGGTCACCTCCGCACCGAGAGCCGTCTTTCGTCTTACACACACGCACATACACACACACACGATGGATAAAATGATATTTTATTTTATTTTATATCGCTTTTTTATCCATTATTATATTTTTATTTATATATTTGTCCCTTTTTCTTTATCTCGCTTTATATTTCTCCTTATATAAAATTCATCGAGCCGGAAATAATCGGGGATAGTTCTCTTAAAATGATAATTCTCCTCGACTGGACTCGGGTAGTAAACCAGAGGAGGATATAATAAATTATTTATCGACAGGTTTTATTTAACAGTTAATAGTTAAGTATTAATAATAATAATAATAATTGTAATATTTTAATCTGAAAAAATTATTTATTATTTAATCCAAAAATTTTCTTTCCAAATAATAATAATTCGGTACTTATTGTTTAATTATTCCGTCTATCCACTAGTTATTCCTCCATCCATTACCAGCTCGACGCACCGGCTCCTAGAGCAGGGCAATATAAATAATATCGAGGAACATTAATTTCCTTTAAGAATAATTAACGTACGGGCAGCCAAAGAAGCGAGCAGTGACCACCAACCATCCAGCCTTCTTATATAATATTATATAGAGGTAGAGAGGACCAAAGCGAAGAGAAGTTGCCCTTAATCCT